ACGGGTGCCGGTCAGCCCGGAGGTTTGAGGCCCGTTTGAGAGGGCCATCTAAGTCGAAAAATCATGACCGATCAGTGACCGGACGGTAAACCCGGGCAAACGTCGGGCCGGGCCGGGTTTCGGGCCGGGCTTGTAAAAGCCCGACCTTCATTTCTCAAGCCCGAGCCTGGCCCGAAGCCCGAAATACTCCCTATTTTCAAACCCGAGCCCGGCCCAAAATCAAGCCCGAAGTTCGAAAGCCTAACCCGAATGTTGTTTTTTAGTACGCGCACGTGCAAGCTCGGCCCGAAGCCCGAAAGCCCGACCCGAAATACGAAAAAATTGAAGCCTAAGCCCGGCCCGAACTATCTTTCGGGCTGCAAAACAAAGCCCAAGCCCGGCCCGAATGTGAAGCCCGGCCTCGACCCGGCCCGGGTCATCGGGCCGGGCTGCCCATGCCCGGGTTTACCGCGCGGGCCACCCGGGCGTTTGAGGCCGGTTTGAGGCGCCCGGCTGTAGATGCTCTAAATTATGTTTGTTGCGGCATTTCTTCACACACTATTCATCTTGACTTTTTTGGAAAAGGAAAAGGCAGTATACATAAAAAATGGAAATATTATTGTGCTGACGTTTCTTGCGAAGGCATGACAAACAAACGTTTTTATGGCAATTTATATCGTCGCGAGGATGGCAAACTCTCAGAAAGCACATCAAATCCTGGCAAAAAACATTGAACTGCACAAATTTGACATGCCTGTTAAAGAAAAAACATCATCCATGGTCCATGGACAACACAAATTGGCATGAAAATTGTTTGATTTGCCATGCCCTCCAATGAAAAGTTCACTGATTATGAAAATCATATTAAAAAAGGGTTGGTCAGTATTTTTTTCTTACTAAAAAATTTAAAAAACTGATCGACCCTCTTTTCGAAAGGAACCACAAATGAAAAGTGCTATTCCCTGCATTTTTTTAGAAGAGTACTAGTTTTGCCTTGGGCCGAAAGTGGACAGCGTCGAGCCTGAAGGCCTTCCTGCGGTGCTACAACCCCTCCAAAAGATACTACATACCGCTGTTAGAGAGAGAGAGAGGAGATTGGATTAACTACCGTGCATGGGAGGTCTCGTGCACAGTTCAGCCATTGATTGCTATGCCGTGATTCGTGCTAGACAGTGCAACTTACCCTTTTTTTTCATATGACTCAAAGATTGTATCAATTTTATCTTTTGAACACGAAGTCAGATTTATTACCTGGTTGCACATTTGCATTTCTCGTAATGAAGACTTCCAAACAAAATCAATCTTGATTATATTTTGATTTTTTTAAAAAAATTAGGTTCTAAAACATGATGAAACTGGTAAAAAAAACAAGATTTTTTAGAAAATTTAGGAGAAAGTAAAAAATCTTTAAAAAACCGAACAAACTTGACTTACTTGCGTACTCGTATAATTTTTTTGACAGAGGACACCCTAAAAAGTTTGAGCGAAAAATAATAATTTTCAAGACAATATAGAGTGACTCTAATATAGTGCTAATTTTTCCTTCTTCGCCAACAACACCACGAAAGGCTTTTCTTCACACAAAAAAGCGTGCGTACCACTTGAGCAAGTTTGTTGTCAAAAAAATCATGAATTTTTGATCATTTTCGCTATATATGTCAGAGTTTTCATGTCTCAGATTTCAATTTTTAAAAATGTCCAAATGTATTCAAGGGTGGTCTTATTTTAAAGTATTAATCGCAAGGAACACACTGACACAAACAAATTATAAATTAGACTTTTGATTCAGTGGATAAATAAGATTCAAAGTTCAAAATCAAATGAAAGAAGGCATGGGTGAGTGGAGTATTATACATGTAATGTAAGAAGTAAAGGAACAAAGAGATTAACTCGGGCATGGGACCCTCCCGTGCATGGTAGAATCTCTTTTCTCGAGACTTGAGGTTGAGATCTTCTTAGTCTGCGGGGCCGTTGGATTTTGTTAGAAGGGAGAGATGGGTTTGGTGGAATGTTCATTGTATTGCTTGAGCCTCGTAGGCATATATATAGGAGTACATGATGATCTTGGAGTACAAGGCAAGGTAGAATAATATCCTACGTATCCTAACTTTCCTAATAATCACGATACTCAACATCCCCCAGCAGTCACAACGGTAGCGACGCAGACGGTAAGACTGGAGAAGAATCCGAAGGCAAGCCGACGGACACCCCTTCCCCCCCACAGTCATAACGGTCGATGCATCGCGGAGTCGTGACTGGAGTGGAAACCGACAAGGTTGCTCAAGCAAGACGGTAGCCCTTTGTGCCGTTTGTCGATGTAGCCAAGAGTGTGGGTGGTGGAGCCGTGGTCGAGGTAGCCGTGCGAAGAATGATGTGGTCGATGTCGAGTCAGGGTGGCCGGTGTCGAGGAAGTCGCCGTGGAGCCGCGGGTGCAAGGGGGCACCGAGTTAGTATGGGCGCAGTGGTGTCAAAGTAGGGGTGCACCGGGAAGATGATGTTGTTGACGATGCGTCGCGGCGGGTTTGCCAAGCCCGGGAACACATCGTAGACGAAGGCACGCACCAGTGTTGCCGGCACCGGGCATGCGTAGAAGGATGAAGACGAAGTTGACGAAGCCTTGCACCAGGCTTGCCAGGCCCGGGGACACATCGTGGAGGAAGGCACACATCTGTGTTGCCAGCACCGGGCATGCATAGACGAGGGACCTGCACGAGCTGTACGTCATGTCGAAGAAGTCAGAGGGCCAGCAGAGAAGAACTCAACGATGGTTGCAGCGTCCATCAACGCGGGGCCAATGTCACCAACGGTGGTCGGAGTAAACGAAGTGGTCGGGGTTGACGACGGTGACACTGACGACGGGCTGGTACTGGATGAAGACGAAGGAGGTGGACGGGTGGCTGCGGCGACTACAGGGTAGCGGCGGCGGCGGCCAAAGAAAAGCGGCGGCGGCGGCCTGACGGTGGCGGCGGCTTGATTAGGAGCGCGGCGGCGGTGCTCGAAGTAGGCGGAGAACCCTGACAACGTGACGAAGACCGGCGTGGACGGTGGTGTTCCTGCGCCAAGGGAAACGGCGCGGCGCATACCACGGGAGGTTGACGCGCGGTGACGGCGGAGTGGACCATGGGCCGCGGTGCTACGGCCCGAAGGGGCGACGCAGCGGCGGCGGGCAGGTCGGGGCGACGACGGGAAGACCACGGGGCGGCGGCGGAGACCGCGGGCCGCGGTGCGACAACCCGAAGGGGCGGCGCGGTGGAGGAGTTCGGGCCGGTGCAACCGCGGGGACGGCCTCGGAACGGCTGCATGGACCGCGTGCCACACTTTTACGGCTTGACGGGACGACGCATCGGCGGCGCGAGGGTCGGTGTGGCCACGGGGACGACCAGGAGCGGACAACCTCGGGGCGGGGGTGGACCGCGGGCCGCGGCACTACGGCCCGAAGGGGCGACGCAGTGGTGACGCGGGTCGGTGCAGCCGGGAGAAGAACCACGGGGCGGCGGCTCTGCGGCCCGAAGGGGCGATGTAGTAGCAGCCGTTGCTCGATCGGTGGAGGGACGCGCTGAACTCTGGGACGATCTTCACGGGACCTGCGGAGGCGCGCGCAACCGACGGGCCAGGTCGGTTGCACGGCGTAGATGAGGCAGATCGCGGCGGCGGGCGGGTGATCAATTCGATCACACGCGAGGTCGGGGACGTCGTCGGTGGAGATGGGGTGGCGGCGGAGTCCGAGATGAAGTCGGCGACGACGGGCAGCAGGGCGGCTATGATTGGCCCCCGCATGGCGCGAGGCCGCCGGGTCGGATGATGCAGGAGTCCCGATCGGAGCAGGGCGGTGATGGTCGGTGCAGGGCGACGGGCGGACCGACGCGCGGACGACGGCTGGCCCTGACGGGCCGCCTCGGCGTGCGTGGCCGCCGGGTCGGAGGAGAGGCCAGCGGGTCGCGCCGGGGTCGGAGTAGAGGCGCTCGGGGTTGACGGCGGCGGTGGGCGACGCAAACCGATCAAGATTAGATTGGAAACCAAAAAAAACCGCGCGATCAAGATGACCAGCAGGAGAGAGAAAACCCCGGAGCAAGGCTCGGGGAAAAGACTCTCTAGGGCAGCCGGTCAACACGACCGGCGGACGAACCCTACGTACGGGCGGCCCGGCCCCCGGCGGCGGTCATGGAAGCCGACCGCCCTGGGGGCAGCGCGCAGGTGCGGAAGCGGCGGCGGCTACGGTTTAGGATTGACTTGCGATAGATACCATGTTAGAAGGGAGAGATGGGTTTGGTGGAATGTTCGTTGTATTGCTTGAGCCTCGTACACATATACTTCCTCCGTTCCTAAATATAAGTTTTTGTACAGATTCCACTATAAACCGCATACAAATGTATATAGATGCATTTTAAGTTTAGATTCATTCATTTTACTCCGTATGTAGTCCACCTAGTCAAATCTCTACAAAGACTTACATTTAAGAACGAAAGGAGTATATAGGAGTACATAATCATCTTGAAGTACAAGGCAAGGTAGAATAATATCCTACGCTATCCTAACTTTACTAATAATCACGATACTCAACAGATTTCGCTGGGCTATTCATCGTGTTCCTTCCTCCCTCCCTCCTTCGCCGGTGCCCTAGCCACCGCGCGCACGACCAGGGTCGTCTGCCGTCTGCCGAGCGATCCGGGCGGGTACCGCTGCATCCTTTGACGGATAGGTCGCTGGGTGCTACGGCTCCTACGTCCGCGTGGTTCATATAGACGGTGGCGGCCGTCGAGGCGGTTCGCAGGCCGGGCGGAAGGTGACCCAGCACGGAGACGTTGTCCGTGTGGACTGTGTGGAGTCGTAGTAAGGTTCGTCATCGTCAGCCGTGTCCGGGTACGACTACGAGTCAGACTCAGTTGTGGGCCGTGGCCGCACGCACCTGTATAAGCAGCAGCTATAGTCTAGTTGATTGTAATTGCCAGATCGTGTAGGTTGCACTAGTATAGTACCGTGAGTTGACAGTTTGAGAAATAAGAGAAGAAGAGGCCGAGGGCATGCCGTGCAAAAAGGCAAGGCTGCTGCGGCGACGAGTCCATGTAGGGACGGAGTCGTCGAGTGTCGAGCCTTGTGAAACATCTGTGGTGAAGGTGGATTATGATGATGATGATGAGCCTGTCAAGTCCGAACCAGCAGCTCCATCTGAATATGATCAAGCCGCCGAGGAAGCGGCCGAGGAGGAGACGATGGCGATGATGATGGGATTGGGGGAGCTGGCCGACGAGGCAGCTGAGGAGGCGGCCAGAATCGGGGAGAAGAAGAACAGGAGAGACAATCTGTCGATCGACGAAATGATGGCGATTACGAGAGAGATGGTAGGGGAAGTACCCGAGGAAGCCAACACTGATCATAATGCCTACTATGCCCGTGTTCACCGCGAAAATTGGGACCGGCTCTTCGCCCAACACTACGGCCCCTTCGACCAGACCAGTAAGCGTCCTCCTCTGATCCAGTCCTTGCTTTTTTGCCGCCTCCTGTTACTAGCATGTTACTAGCATATAGTACTACTTCCGTCACGTGTTAAAACGCTCATATATTATGGAATGGAGGAAGTAGCATACAATGGACACATGCTCTATTAGCGTATCATCACCTGACTGCACTATATATTTGTCATGCAGCGTCCATCCCTGCCTCGTGCTTCACCGACCTTTGCCGCCCTAACAACAGCTACGCCCACAAGCAGGAGATGCTCCAGATCTTCTCGATCAAAGTCGGGAAGATAAAGAAGCCCCTGAAGTGGCCTTTACAGGTTTTTGGTTCGATCGCTGTGCGGGATGCGGTGGATCGCAATCGCATCATGGTGTTCCACCGTGAGAGGGATAACTGCCAAACCCTTACCAAGAAGGTTTATACTACTATATTATGAATCTTTGCTACTCCATGCGTAGATTATGTGGATTCATTGGTCTCTTCTTAACTTCCAGCTAAATTTACATGATGATAGGACTATGTATACGATTTAGAACACAATTTAATATATGCAATAAATTCCAAACCATCACCGAGGAGCTTCACATACTCTGTGCATGGATAGTGGCTAGTATTTGGTATGTTCATCAGCTTTTTTTTTTCCGAAAAGGGGGGATTCCCCAGCCTCTGCATCAGAACGATGCATACGGCCACCTCAATAAATAAAATAGGTTCAACAAAGTCGTATAGTCTTCAACAAAATAAAAGCAAGCTCACCTAGAACCTCGAAGCTAAACCAAGAAAAAACCATAAGCCAAGAAAAAGCCATAAGCCACAACCGGCTGGTAAAATGAAGATAGAAAAACTAATTGCCTATCCTATTACATGACCGCCAACCAAACCGGTTGAAGATATCCCGCGCTACCATCTCCCATCGGACAGATCCAGTAACCAAACGCTCCCTGGCCTCCGTCGGAGTGAGTAAGCACCACATACGGATCAGCGCCGTAGCACGGAATACAACCTGCAAAAAATGAATAGTAGTTATTCTATTAAAAACCAAGTCATTTCTGCAGTTCCAAATTGCCCATAACAACGCATACACTCCTACACGAATATGCCGAGCTGTATCGGACTCTATCCCATCCAGCCACGTTCCAAATAACGACCCAACCGTACTTGGAGGAGTGATGTTAAAAGCAATTTGCACAGAGCGCCACAGAATTCTCGCCAAAGGACAATCAAGGAAGAGATGCTTAATGGTCTCATCATGATCACAGAAGCTACACCTAGTAGATCCAGTCCAATTGCGCTTGACCAAGTTGTCCTTTGTTAAAATTACCTATTTATGAACAAACCACATAAACACTTTAATTTTCAAAGGCACATGTACTTTCCACACATGTTTGGTACTAGGAATAATGGTGGAGTTGATGACATCGTTGTACATCGACTTTACAGTAAATTGTCCATTCCTAGTAAACTTCCAACAAAGCTGATCGGGCTGCTGAGCTAGCTGAACTTCCATCAGTCTACGCATCAGATGGAGCCAAGCTTCCCATCTCTCACCAACAAGCACCCGCCGAAACTGAATATTAAAGGGAGTGGACTGCATAATCGTTGCAACTAGCGCATCACGTCGCTGGACAATACGATACAGGGTTGGGTACTGTATTGCTAATGGTGTATCACCCAGCCAATTGTCCTCCCAGAAACGTGTGTCATTGCCATCACCGATGATAAACTTTGTTCTATTAAAGAAGGTTGCCTTGACTCTCATAAGCCCCTTCCAAAACGGCGAATCAGATGGTCTCACTGTCACCTGTGACAAAGTTTTGGACTGCAGGTACTTGTTACGAAGAACCTGCGCCCACGTTGCATCAGTCGGACCCGAAAGCTTATACAACCACTTACTAAGCAGGCATCTGTTCTTGACCTCAAGATTTTTGATACCCAGCCCCCCTTGGTCCTTTGGTCGACAAATGACATCCCACTTGGCGAGTCTATACTTTCTCTTAAGTTCATCACTCTGCCAAAAGAATCTTGATCGGTAGAAGTCCAGTCTTTTCCTAACCCCAACTGGAACCTCAAAGAAAGATAGTAGGAACATCGGCATACTCGTGAGCACCGAATTAATAAGAATTAACCGGCCTCCATATGACAGAAGTTTGCCCTTCCAGCAACTAAGTTTCTTTTCAAACCGATCCTCATTGCATTTCCACTCTCGGTTTGTAAGCTTACGATGGTGAATGGATATACCTAGGTAGGTGAAAGGTAAAGCCCCTAATTCACATCCAAACAATTGCCTATAAGCCTCCTGGTCCTCCTTGGCTCTACCAAAGCAGAACAATTCGCTTTTATGAAAGTTAATCTTTAACCCATACAATTGTTCAAACAAGCAAAGCACCAGCTTCATATTTCTCGCTTTTGACAGGTCATGCTCCATAAAGATGATTGTATCATCAGCGTACTGCAGAATGGACACCCCCCCCATCAACTAGGTTGGGCACCAGGCCTCCCACCTGACCGGCCTCCTTTGCCCGACCTATTAGAATTGCCAACATGTCAACCACAATGTTAAACAAAATAGGGGACATTGGATCTCCTTGCCTCAGACCCTTGTGTGTTTGAAAATAGTGCCCAATATCATCATTTACTTTAATTCCAACACTCCCTTTTTGCGTAAAGGATTCTACCTGGCGTCGCCAAGCCTCATCAAAACCCTTCATACGCAAGGCCTGTTGAAGGAATGGCCATTTGACTTTGTCGTACGCTTTTTCGAAATCCACTTTGAAAACAACCCCATCCAGTTTTTTCGTGTGGATTTCATGCAGCGTTTCATGAAGGACCACTACCCCCTCAAGGATATTCCTGTCCGGCATGAAAGCAGATTGGATAGGCTGCACAACAGTATGCGCAATCTGTGTGAGTCTATTGGTCCCGACCTTGGTGAAAATTTTGAAACTAACATTAAGAAGACAGATTGGCCTGAATTGCTCAATTTTCACAGCCTCTGTTTTCTTAGGAATAAGAGTAATCGTTCTAAAATTGAGTTGAAAAAGATGAAGCTGTCCAGCAAACAAATCATTAAACATAAGCAACAAATCCCCTTTAATGATATGCCAGCACTTCTTATAAAATTCAGCTGGGAAACCATCAGGACCCGGCGCTTTGTTATTCTTCATTTGCGAGATGGCCTCCAGCACCTCTTTCTCCGAGAATGGAGCCGTAAGAATATCATTCTCCACCGCTGTGAGCTGAGGAATATCCTCAACCCTTGACTCGTCCAGCTAACTTCAGTTATTATGCGCATGGATACGGGCTAGTATAATAGCGTACAAGTCTGGTTGGGCTAGAGGTTCATGACATGTATTTGTTATCGTTTCGCTTCCATTATGCTACCCAATGTTACCTCTTCTTTGGCATCATGTAACTATTAATTTAGACTGCCTCCATCAATCTTAATGCATGTGATGATTTGAACAAACTTGATTGCCCAACACAAATGATCGGCTCACGCCTCCTAGCTCATTTTGCTCATCATAAGCTATTTCTGCCGTATCGGTCAGTTTGATACACTGAATGCTATGCAGGATCGATTTCTTACGCTAACGGGGCCTACCCGAGGAATTGTGATGAATGTACATCATATCTATGTTGAAGTTGATCTGAAGGCGAAGGGCACCACTAAATCTGAGGATAAAGATTTAAGCTATTTAGCAGTTGCGTCTCTTCCTTGGGGCCCGTCTTATCGTGCTGAGGCTAGCAAGCTTAGCACACTAGAGTTGACATACGTTCGAATGTGTAACTGTGTGGAAGCCGCAATCAGTGTGAAAGTCAAAAAGCATGGGTTATGGCCTGGCTGCAGGGGTTTACTCACTGCCAGTACAGCTAGTTTCGAGAACATGGAAATCCCGTTGCTTGCTTTTGAAGGCGATAGATTGCCGGTTGATGGTAGTGGCAGGATTGAGCTTTCACGCCGCGTGGTCAGCGTCGAGCTTCCGCAGCCTGAAGGAAAGCTTGTGTTTTCGGCGAAGGCACTACGTGGTAGTGATGAGAAAGATGTGAGGAAAATTCGTAAAACTTTTACTCCCAAAAAGTTTGGTAAAACCAAGGAGAATATTAAGATTGGCTCCTGTGAGATGGAGGTAACTGTCACATGGTCCCTTCTTCCGAGTTGTAAGTATGATTATGACAGTGCATTTGTAAGGTATTATTAAGGTTGACTTCTGTGAGATGAATGTTTTGACTGTGATGTTATTTCCTATCTAGACATCAAGTATGACTGACGGATAGAAAGCCTTAGCTCTGGCATAGTGTCTTTTCTTTTTGAAATGTAGTACTCCCTCCGTCCCATAATATAAGAACGTTTTTGATATTAGCATAGTGTTAAAAACGTTCTTATATAGTGGGACAGAGGGAGTATCTTTTTGTCTGTCAAGTGCAACCCGTGTAAATTTGCAAGCTGATAGATATAATATGAGTTAGTTGCTTTGCGTGATGGGGAAATCGCCTAACTATGGGTCTTGTCTGATATGGAAAAAGGACTATAGTTATAATGCTATGAATTAAACAACACAGGTAGAGCAAAATCATAAGTGTTAGGATACTCTAAAATCGTTTGAATCATAGAGACCACAAAGGAATCTTCAACGCTGACCTCCAAGTCTTTATTGTTACCCTCCAACGTTGACATATTTCATTAGAAAACTATGGGACCTAACCTACTCTAAATCTACGGCTACGTGTCCTCCAAGTCTTTATTGTTACCCTCCGGCGTTGGTTGTGTCCATATTCGACGGGGTTAAGACCCGTGAAGTGAAGGTGCGGTCACCGATGAGAAAGAGTAGGACATGGAACATGAGACATGGGACATGGGCTAGACTCAAGGCCCAGCCGCCTCCCATGTACTACTACTCCTTGTCGGAGTCCACGACCATGGACACGGACGGGGCGGCACAATCGTCGTGCCACCGGCGCCAATAAAACATCATTGGCGGGGCGAAGCACGCGCAGCTGCCAGCGTTCTTGTCCGCGATCGCCTGCGGCATGTCGCCATCTTCGTGCCGATTGCTCCACAGCCGCATTGCGAGTGGCGTGAGCGCTTGCTGCTCAGCGAAGAAGTTGGGGTTTTTCATCGGCATGTCCGCCATGGAGCCACGGCTTCCTCGCTCGCGTGCTTGTCGTAGATTTGGTCCTCCACCAGCCGGTACTACTCGAGGAGGGTGAGGTTGTAACTCTGCTCTTCCTGTGGCTGCCAGAACGCCAAAAACGACAGCGGCGCCGGCTACTCCTCCGCTATGGCGTCATTGAAGTGTGTCTGCGCCTGCTGCATGGTCAAGTCGGAATGGACCGGGACCGTGTCATCGTCGAAGCCCGTCTCCATCGTTGGGTCGTCGTCAGAGACCTCCGGGGAGCTGGCCGGCAGCAAGGGCGGACGTCGCGTGCCTCTGCTCTGTCGGGAGGCTCTCCCACAATGTGTTGTCGCTCGTGCTCATGGCGGATGTGGTGCACGGGAGAAGGATGTGGATCGAACATGTTGTGGTGCAGTTTGTGTCGGGAGTGACCTCGTTTAAATAGAGAATTCCAGTGAAGGAAAGTGGTGTGTTGTGTCAATGCAGGAACCGGAGTTGGTTTCTCGGTCGGTGTGCCTATTTAATAATGGCAGACAGACAAACGGGCTCCCCATTTGAATGCGGTAGATATTAGCCCGTCCCATCCTCACACGTCGCTCTGACATTGAACATGATGCGTAGAATGGATGCGCGACGCTCTCGGCCGCCGTTCCTACTCAATATCAAGGCGATGTGAGAGGCCGCACCCGCTTTGAGACGGCGTGAATGCGGCACTGGAGCTCTCGAGTGGCATGAATTCATGGCAAGCACTTCATGGTGGAAAAGGGCGTGAGGCATGGGAGAGGGTTTGGGGTGGGTCCTTGGTGTCGGAAGTGTGTGTGCCAACCATCCAGACGGCCGCAAAGCCCCCTTCCACGTTTTTCTTCTGTTTTGCGAGAAAAAGGGATGTCTGGACTGGTCCACAGACGGATGCGGGACCGTGTTGGATAG